ACTCCTTCGTCCCACGTCTCGTTGTAGTCACCTTTCGCTCCAAATTATAACCCTCTTTCAGTGGCTCCTTATAAGAACTAATGCATAGCGCGACCAACTTTTTGCTTGCATTCACTAGCATCTTCGCTCGGTTCACCGTCACCAAACTTGTCTCCTTCGGAAGAGATGCCGAACGAAATATGAATTTTTCACCATCTTTGGTGAATGTGTACTTCTGAGTCCGTCTCTCGTAGATCGCTTCTCTATCCCACAAATAGGGATTACCCAGTATAACCTGACAAACATCCAACGGAACTACGTCGCACGTGACCTCGTCAATATACGACTCATGGAGCGTAAATTTAAAAGTGCATTGATCAACTACACTCGGTCCCGTCTCCTTCTGAATCTATCCTAATGGATAGGACTTTGGATACTTGACAGTCTTCAGACTCAGCTTCTGAACCAAGGTCTCGGATATCAAATTCTTCTCGCTGTCTGGATCCACTATGGTATCAACCAAACTGGTCTTCACCTGCAACTTAAGAACAAAGAGCTGCTCTCTAGGGTCGTCGTCCTCTTTCGTGGCTTGCTTCCCTGTCATAAGGTTGAGACTATTGTTAGGCCCTGTCATCCCCGGGATTTTTTTCAGAACTTGAGCTATCACGTATGCCTTTTTCTCCTCCTTCAACCCTTATTGGCTTGAGATGAAGATACTTTTCCCAGCACCGATCAGCTACGTGTCCTGTCTTCTCGCAATGACTACAAATCAATCCTGTTTTTCCTGGATCACCCTTTGCCTCGTTGCTCCTCTTTTGCTGGGAAAAGTATCTTCATCTCAATAACTACAAATCAACCCTCCTTAGATTGAGAACCACTGGACTTACCTCCAGTTTGTTTTGCATCTCCCTTTGCCTTGTTGCTCCTCTTTTGCTTGCCTTCAATGGTAATAGCCTTCACGCTCGCCTCTGCAATAGATTCCACCGTGAATAGCTTTATCTCCTTCCGGATGTACTCGCTCAAACTCGTCATATACTTCATAAACATAAAATATTCCTCCGTCGTAATATTAAGGACCATCACCTGCTGCTAGAACTCCGTGGTGTATTCTTGAACGGTTTGATTGACTCTTTGGCGCAAGCCGTATCACTTGTACCAACGCTCCTCAAGAAATCCCATCGGGTAGAATTTTGCTTCCTCAGTAGCTCTTTGAACTTGTTCCACGACACCGTTTTTCTTTCCTGCTTACAATAGGATTTTTACCATGTCAATACATATGCCCCGAAAGCTTTAAAGTCGCGAACACAATCTTCTCTTTTGACGAATAACCATAAAAGGTAAAATACGTCTCCATACGCTCAATCCAATCGTCAAGCCTCTTGACATCAACACTCCCATCATAAACAAGAATCTCTATTCTAAAATCTATCTTCAGATTCTGGTAAGAACCCTTACCCCCTTGATGCAGAACAGTCTTGACAATTTCAGCCTCCTCATCAAAATCAGATTCCTCGCCCTCCCCATCGGACTCTACAAGTTTTTTTTGCCTTTTGAAGAAGATTCCTCCTTTTTGTCCTTTCCTTGAAAAAGATTGACGAGTTATGTGAGAGTCGAACCCATTGTCTCCATCTGTTTCTCCAATGCATCAAGTCTCGTTGAATTATCCCTTTCAGTCATCTTATTCTTTCTTAATCTCTGAACTCCTAAAAAAATAAGGGTCTCGCCAAGCTTCTTGTATTGCGATCGAGTAAGGACCATACACAGGATGCCCCATTCACAGGATCTAATCGCTCTGATACCAACTTGATACGAGTTATCGGACAAACACCCTTGATCGCAGAATTATCAAGAGTGGGTTGAGAAGAATACGATAGAAAACACAAGAACAATTCAGTTTTGGCGAAGGAAAATACCTTATCTAGATTATGAGAATAATAGATTACAAATCTCTCTCTCACAATCTCTTTAGAATCAAGAACAATCTCTCAATTCTCTCTAAATCCTAATCTCTTGGTTAATATCTCACCTCTTTGATTTCTCTGATTCTTTAGAACCCTAAAATAATCCTCTTTATAGAGTTTACAATGTGGATGACAAACTTGTAATTAAACAAACCAAAACCAAACAGGAAAACAGAGGCCTAGGAACCCATCGCGATCGACCGCAGAGGCACGTGCAGTCGACCGAAGCTAACGACTGAAACCAAAACCCATTACAGGGTTTAGCCTGTCGACCGCACATGTCGCTGTGGTCGACCGTGAAAAGTCCAGAGACCTCCCCAGGATTGGTGCATGTTTCCGGTCAACCGCGGTGTCAAGCGCGGTCGATCGCTGGAAGTCCAAAACGTCTCCGGCAGTCTTTTCCTGTAATCTTCGTGGTTTTGCCCGCCTTTGTCGCCTTCAACGACTTCGTCCACGTCTCTATTCTCAAGATATCATGAGAATCACCTATCCTCAAGCTTTCATGAGGATCGCTAAATTCCCGAGGCAAGAAAGAAGATACACACGTATCATTTCATAAGGTTGTGTAACAGTGGCGAAGTCGGGAATTTCAAGAAGGGGGTCTAAAAAAATTAATAATTGAATATGATAACATATAAATTTTCCCTTGATTAATTATTATATAAACATTATAAATAATGAAACTTTCAAAATCAAATTTCAAACTAGAATATTATGCTATGATAGCATTCTTCTTGCCTTCATTTCTTGGTATAGTTTTATGATTTTGGGTAGGGTATTGATTAGATTGAGCTATCTAGATTCTTTAGAATAGAGTTATTTTGGAAATTTAATAAGATCACATTATGATTTGATTTCTAAATTCTAATTTGGAATTTCTGAAGAGTTAGTTGGGATAAGGTTACCTTATATATGTTATGGTTTTTATATTTAATAAAAGCATGAAGAAAATTTTGAGAAATTAGCAACATGAGAGTCGATCTGTGCGCGAAACCGATCTAGCCAGTTGATCTTTATTTTATGAGTTCCTACTATCAATTAATCCTAGTCCTCCATCATCCTCTAATTAATAGCCTAATTCAATAAAATAATAAAGGGTTTGTTTGATATTAGTCTCTTAATCTTTCACATTTGGAATTAGTTATTCAAATCATTAAAGTTGCTATTAGGTCCCCCAACTCTTCAGTTGTTTGAAATTTGTCTCCCTAATCAAGATTAAGAGTGGCAATTAGAGTGATCAGTGTAAAACAACTTTTGAGAGTTTGGGAGCCTACTAGAAATTTCACTAATTTGAAGGACTAATTTTGCTTTAATTGCTACTTCCACTGTTGATTTGAGGAATTATTTTCAAAACAACTCAAGAAGGGGGGGCCTAATAGCAATTTAAGTGATTTGAGTTGTTAATTCAAAATATGGAAGAATTAAGGGACATATAGGATAACAACCCCCACCCCGCATCGAAAAAAAAGATAAAGGAAAAGGAAAAAAAGCAAGCTTTTACAGAGGCCTGTGCTTGTTTGCTCGTCACTTCTCTCCACAAAAGACCAAAGATTACTGCCCCCAAAACACCAAACAACCTCCTCTCTCATAAGAAGACAAAAGCTCAAAATGCGAAATCAAGGGCACTGTTCATCTTCTTTTCTGAAGTCAAAATCTATTGAAACCAAAGTCTATTGAACCAACTTTCGCCCCTTCGGTTGGTTTGCAGAAACAAAAGAAAACAAATGAACATAGCCCTGTTCATCTTCCTCTCAATAATGGCGGGTTCCCTTCATAGAATTGAGCAAGTGTGATCTTACAACTTAGATTTATGAAATTTGTAACCAATACACCCTTGAATTTTTGTATTTTTCAATGTGGGACCAAGCCCCCTTTGGTCCCTACTTAGCCCTGCCCCTGTTATGTCATTGAAGGCCTGTTAGGTTACATAACACAACATGATGAGTTATGTAATAGGTTTTCTTTTCAACAATGCTTCTTATATGCGCCTATGCTCTTCTTTCTGCAATACACCCAAAAATATGATGAAACTATCTAAAATTTGGTCTGGCTACAATTTGGAGAGTAAATTACAAAAGATGATGATTTGAAGGATAATTTTAAAACTATCTAAGATTTTGGGTATTTGATTGAAATGATATTATTATTATTATTATGATCATTGTCAAATCTTTTTCATTCTTGGCCAAAAGGATCTACATTTGAATATATTGATTAATTTGTAAGAAAACTATAATCTTTATCAAATTTACCCGGTGCATTTTTTATGTTTAGCAACTCTTAAACCAACGTGCATTGAATATGAAAAGTTACGAATGATCTCTGCTTTTTATTTCGTGGCATCTAGTGCTCAAATGTCAAAATAAACATGTGTTTCTGCTGTATAAGGACACTTTATGTTTTGACTGTGATGAGATTTATGTAGATCCAATCTTGGAATTGGAATTTTTAAAATTTTTAGTGCATGTTTAAAGCCTGAATGATGTAATGACTGATGGTTATGATTTATATTATCCATATTTTGGCAGGACAAACTAAAAGTTTATCTTGCACCTTTCCTTCATGGAATGCGCTACACATCGTTTGGCCGTCATTTCACAAAAGTTGATAAGCTCAAGGAGGTAAGCAGCCTGTACATGTAGATGTCTAAATGTTAGGTTGTTCCCTTTTTTATTGTGTCAGGTTGTGTTTTTTCATGAATTTAAAGAAATGGATGAGTATCTCCTGGTTATGAATTAGAATTTGGGCAGCAAACTCATTTAACATCGCAATATGATTTTCTCGATGTTGGATTCTCTACGTATTTGTTGAGCTAATTGTAATATTTGAAGACTATTGGCTTGCACAACAACCTGGAGAAGATGATTTTTGAGTATAAAGCATTTAAAAGTGTTAACTGTGGTTATTTGAGTTCAATACTTTGAATAATTGTTGTTTGAGAATTACTGATAGAATATTTCGTCTTCTGCAGATTGTAGATAGGCTTCAATGGTATGTGAAAGATGGTGATACGGTGAGAATTCTAATTTTGTTCGTTTTTTCCCTTTATTACAGGGCATCCTAGGAGCTTCTTTGTTGTTTAGGGCCCTTTCTATAGTACATGGTAACTTGGTTAAACTGTTTTCTGACGGCCACATCTATCCAGGCTGCTATGTCATGCCTGGTAATGTTTCATCTGTGTATCTATTTTTGCTAGGTCTTAGTAGCAATTTATGGTTTCAATCCAGGAACACTCATATTAAAATAATTAGCTTCAATTACTTACAAAGATGCTTGACAAATGTGATACTGCAATCCATTCAAAGGATAATATACTTGCGCAATTAAACTTCGACAGATCATAAATATACCTCACAATCCTCCAACACCACAAGACTCAAGTATTTTATTTACAGTTTTTGAAACTAAATGAAACTCATAACATGTCTACTATAAAATAAATTAATTCATAGTTAACAATGAACCACAGTTCATATGATCCAATTAATACACTTAGTCTAACATTCATGCATAATCAAATACTTGATTTTGATGGCCTTGCCTGGCCTTTCAATTGACTCCATCATCTTCATCTCAAGACAACATAGACTTTCTACTTTTCTACAATCAAACTCGAGAACATCCTTTGCTAACTTGACTTCGTCAAATTTTTAAGAGCTTCTAATAGCTTTAGGAACACTAAGAACTTCGTAGTACTCTCAAGTCAATACAACAACATCCCGGTCATCAACCAAATATAGAGGGAATTTGAAGTCACTCCACGAAATTTAATCATAGGAAACTATGGAAGTATGCTAAATAACTAAAAGAAGTACCAGTAGATTAAATGATCAGATTGCAAAATGTATGTGTGATACGAAGAAACAAATTATGTTACAAAGAGTCTCACCTTCATCATGACTGTACCTTCGAAGATTCTACATCTTTGCGTTGATGAAGCTTTAGCTCTTGAATTATGTTGTCTTTGATACCTGAAATTCCTGTTACGAAAATCTGTTTGTTTTACTACTATTTGGTTAATGCCTTAATGGGTTGGAAATCTTCAAATGTCCTTTCCTATCCATGCACATTCAAATTAGGATAAGTTGTGAATCGCCCACTTGGTGGCCAGTCATCTAGTTTGATGGCGGCGGAAATAAAGCACTAACTCATCTTTCATTTATGCTATACAAGCTTGGTCAACAGATCAATCAAAAGTCAATTATATCATATACTTAGAACTCCTCATAGCATGGATAGATGGTCATTACATGTATACATGTTTATTAACTTTATATCTAGCTATATTGCTAGATCATTATGCCAAGATATATGATGAAATTCTATGTTTAATGGATATATGATGAAACTCTATGATTGCTAGATCATTATGCCAAGATATATGATGAAATTCTATGTTTAATGGATATATGATGAAACTCTATGTTTGCTGTAAAGTTCACTAACTTAAAATTATGAAATTCTATGTTTAATGGATATATGATGAAACTCTATGTTTGCTGTAAAGTTCACTAACTTAAAATTGCTTTCTGTTCAAGAGCTTCAGTATTTTTCTGAGCTCGCAATTCTATATACTACAGAAGAAATTTAGGTAGGATATTTGGTGTTGTATCACATAGATTGCATAATTGTGATTCTTAAACTGTGATATATTTAATATCAAACACAAAGATGAGTGAAACTGTGAACATTCTGAAAATGGTTCTGATCCACCTTTATCAGCTGTTCATTCCTTGCAGTGCTAATTTCTTTTTCAGATTGTTGATTTCTGCTGCGGCGCTAATGATTTCAGCCAATTAATGAAAGAAAAGCTTGATGCAACAGGAAAGAAATGTTCATTTAAAAATTATGACGTCATTCAACCGAAGGTAACTTTTCCTGTTTAAAACTGTATCTTGCCTTGCACAGCTGAAAAATCTGTAGCATCTTTCTTGTGGAAACATAAAACCTCAAAATTGATATTCAGAAACATCACAATAGTTTCTTTTTGATATATTAATCGATTTGTATCTTATTGAATAGTTCAAAGTAAGTTAAGATTTTTTATTATAGATATATCCTAGGTTGCAGGGATGAGGAGTTGATACTTGGTTTTAAGAGTGGTAATGTGTGCATGTGGGCGTGGATGTGTTGTGTGCTTGACCTAAGCTCTAGTTACAGGTTCATGGTCACAGTTTTTTAGAAAACTAGCATTGAAGCCTGAAACCTATAAAGAATTCTTGGAAGTTAACAGTGATGACATCTTGGTGTTTCGGCATAATTTCGACTAGAGTAGGTCTAATTATGATATGATACTCTTTTGATAAGTATGTTTCAAAGAACTTTCGCAACAAGCATTCTGGCTCCACTGAGTTCAGCTATCTCACTGCAGTCTTCACCGAGTTGAGGTGTCCCACTGCAGAGATATGCCCAAATAGTTAAACATATGTGTGGACAGAATGACATGTCCTCAGGGATGACATGTCCTCAGGGAATTTCCTGCGTGTCCAAAAAAGAGCCATATGTTTTCTTAAACAAATATATATGCTTTCTTGTCAGAACACAAAACTTGGAGCACCTCGTAATGCGCTAGTTATTGGCGTCAATTTACTTTCAGTATTGGTGCATGGGAAATGACAGTGGAACTTAGGGGTGTAAACAGTTCGCATAGGGCTCGGATATGATACTTACCATGTCCATATCCACTTACAAATCATGGATATTGATGTATCTCGGTAAGGAAAATTATTAACCGTGTCCGCCAAAATTGGATATAGATACGGATAGGCATGCGAATACTATTGTGGATACTTAGTGGTTATGAGAAAATCAGATAATATTGAAAAAGTTATAGTTCATATGATACAATCATACAAGAGAGTTCATTAGTATGTTTATTGTATCTAAAAAAGTAAGATTTGATCTTTTGATCATCAAAATTAACTTAAATCCATTAATATAGAATTAAAACTGTTGCAACTGTGAACAACAAATATTCAGATATTTCGGATATGGATTTGGATATTTCACTATATATCTGTGTATCCGTGAGGCATATCTATTGGATATATATATTTATTATTTAGTAACCGTATCCAGACATGGATATTTCCTCGGATATAGATATC